GATTCGTTCTGGGAGATGGGCTCGGATATCTCGGGGGGGCACTTCAATTTTGTTGTCCCGCGCCTGGCTGAGATTGAACAGCCTAGATATACTCGCCAATCATATCAAGCTGGCGACCACGGGGCACCGGGACCTCTTGGGCGCAATAACCGCGTCTACGTAATTTCCCTTGCCTGCGACATCCTCGATGTCTGCCTTGTATCTTGGACGTTTTGAGATGTGCTCCAACCTGGTAGCGTCAGCGATCCTGTTCCTGTGTTTATCGGTCTGCATCCGACCCCTTCCCCTGCGAGGTCTGCTACCCTTAGGTGGTTTGCCCGCCCCGGTGAATTCGGGAGGGCCCTGAGGGCCCTGGCGGAGGGGCGCGACGCCCCGCCCCATCCCGCGGAGGCCGCGAATCCCATCAAAGACGCCACGCATGTCGCTGCGAAACGGACCAAACACACCCTGGAGAAAAGAAGCCTCTCGAGCACTCCCGACCAGGTAGCGCGGCGCCTTGCCCTTGTTGGAGCCCACCGCCGTGGCCGGCAGGTCGCGGTGGCTTGTCGCGCACCCCCGCGCCTCTCGGAATTCTTGCGACGCCCAGCCGGGCTGCTGGAGCGCCCCCCCCCCCCCCCCGAGTTCAACGAGTTTCTCCGCCGGCTGATGCGGAGCCAGCATGACAGGGGGGAGAGGGAGGTCACGGAGGGCGAGGAGGACGGAGGCACGGAAGAACAGCCACCTCATGCGCTCGCGTTCGCTCGCCGCGGCTCGGGCACCGAGCCATCGGAGAGCCCCCCCTCGACACATCATCGCAGATGACGGCGAGGCCCTTGTCAGCCCTGAAGAGCGCGCCCGCGCTCCAGCTGCTCACTGGGGGAGCATTGGGCGCCCGCGGCCCACGGCCACTGCACCCACATGCTTTCACGAAATCGACCCCTGCATCAAACCGGATGCCAGAACCACAATTTGGACGCCTTCGAGGGGCCAGTTCTGCGAGCTCGCTCGGAGGAAACACGACTCGGCCCCTGGGATGGATTGGATGCCCCACAGTGCCTGGAAGAGCGGGGGAGAGCACGTTTTGGAGCACATGTGTCTGTTGTATCGGCATTCGTTGGGCGATGGGGAGGCAGGCGATGACCCCGGCGCTGCGTCGGCTGCGTTCTCGCCCACGGCGATGACGAACGCGACGGTGGCCACGGGAAAGACAGGGCCCCAGGGCAGACGCGGCCGCTGGCGTTATCAAACACAGATAATGAGATCATGTCACGTGCGATTGCTTCTCCTACATCGCACTCTGCTGGCGTCGCGGTCGACAGACTTCAAAAAGGATCCCTCGCGCGCCGTGGCATGATGGACCACATCATCTCGAGTGATTATCAGGTGATGCTTTGGGCAGGGGCTGAGCAATCTAGCGCTCGCGGGCGCCGCTTTCTTGGACATCGAGGCAGCATTCCCCTCGCTTGCGCACTGCTTCATGCTCTATTGTCTCGAGAGGGTGATTGTCCCAGGAGGAGCGCTGCACGCCGCTCGCCAACTGCACCGCAATGTCAAAGCGCACGTTAACTTTCCGGGAAGCTCGCATGTCTACGTTGACATCTTCAGAGGGATTAAACTCGATTGCCCGCTGAGCGGGGTGCTTTTTGTTCTGGCGGATGACCCTATGATTCGCCTCCTGGGACACAGGCTGCCAGGATCCCCGAGTAGTTCCGCGTGCGGATTCGCCGACGACCTTGCCCACATGCCAGTCAACCCGTTCGATGTTCTTCCAGGGCTTGTTCGGAACCTGTTGGATTTGGCCCGGGTGACCATGGCCTTACCGAACAACCTGGATTTTGATTGGGTTGGAGCTGGGTTTCAGACGCGGTGCCTTCGGGTTCGGATGTTCAAAATCGCTCAGAATGCCAGATATCTCGGCGTTGTGCTTGGACTTGGGGCCACAGGCGAGCGTTGGCGGGGTCCTATGTCAGGCTTCAAGAGACGGGTGCATGCGTTGCATGTCGCTCTCGCGATCCCTCAACATCCGCGCTTACAACACATTCGGCTTTTCTGCCTTCAGTTTCGTCTCCCAAGTACGACCAGAGCTGCCGATGGTGATTGCCGCCCAAAGAGAGGCGACCCAGCTTTTGACTGCAGGACCTTTCGACGCCACCCCGCCTGCACTGATGTTCCAGCTCAAGGAAGTGGGCTAGTCTGTGGAATGCAGAAATCTTGTTACGCGGGGGAGGACGGCTGTATATGGGACGGCTAAGAGGAGTTCGGCATTTCTGTTTCGAAAGGAAGAGTTGGAGGATGTCCTTGATGGCGACGACTATGTTATCACGTATGAGTATCATCCGATATAACGTATCCTGGTCTGGAATATCTGCTAGCTACACTTCATAGTGTCGAAACGCTCCCCGAAGCCCCTGAGAACCCTGATGATCATAACCTCCAGGCCCCTGCCAGGAAAGTTATTTCGGCCGCTTCTCCGACGGCCAGCGTCGAGGAGCTCCTGGCACCAAAGCTGAAGAGGTGGCAGACCGGCATCGCGGATGCCCAGATCGGACTGTCCACTTTGCGCTTGCGGATCATCGCGGGGGTGCTGCCACCGTTCGCGCTGACGGCAGCACTGAAAACGCGGTGCAATGCGTGGAACTCTTCTCGGAGATCGAGTTGGGACCTTTGGATGTCTATGCAGGTGTATGGCGGTGGGAGGGGGTTCTCTTGATTACTATATGCAGTGCCCTGTTCTTTTTGAAGCTGTGAGAACCTCTCTCCCCCTTTGTCCTGGCCTCCGGGGTGAAGGTGACGACCAAAATCACTTCATTTTTGTTGTTTGAATGTTTCTTGTTGGTCCGAACTTTGCCGCGTGACATTAGCAATTGAAATCATGCATTGCGTTATCAAATCCCTTCGCGTTGGTAAGGGGCACGGCCTTTCCATTAGGCAGTCGGTTGAAGCTCGCGCTAGACCCAATGAGCAAATTATCCAGACAAGCTGGCCTTCTCCTGCGGGGCCTGCCTCTCTAGTTTAGTGAGGCATCCAAGTCGGAATCGTGTGTCAAGACGGTGGACGGTATCTCTCCCCTTCGCCCTCTTGTCCGCTTGCCCTTTTGTCCCTTGTTCGCGTCGCGTCCGCCCTCTCCCCTTGGGTAGCGTGGCTCCTCCTCCTCCTCCTCCTCCTCCTCCTCCTCCTCTTCCCCCTTTTTCCTTCAGGTCCTTCTCTTCCTCCCCCTCTTCGTCCCCCTCCTCGTTTTCTTCTTCTCCTGCTTCTTATCTTTATTATCAGTATTATTATGTTTCGTCTTATTAGCATTCCTCTCCTTCTAATGGGCATTTGTATTATTACTATTAGTTGTTTTTCTTAATGTTATTGCTTATTATTTTGATTATTACTATTCCTCTTTATTCCTCTTCCTCTTCCTCCTCCCCCCGTTCGACACGGAGGCGGGCGAGCGAGCGAGCGGCGCAGATGCTTCCGTTCCAAAGGTTTTGTCTTGGAGTGTCCCTGGGTCGCGCGGCCGGTGCCGGGGGGGCATTGCCGCGGTAAGAACGAATGTCGCCGGAGGGGTTCGCGCGTCGAGACAAGGGCAACGTGCTAAGGTTATTCGGCACGTTTCGCATGAGACATCGTCGTAAGTCTGCGTTCCCGTTGAGGTCGGCAGGGACCCATTGCTTCTTCAGGTTCGCACGCGTTCCGTTATTTTTCCGGTGGCGAGCGCCGTCGGTGCCATTTCGGATTTTACGGCCGTTTTTTCGGGTCTCACGGGCTTCACGGTTTCTGCAGTTCTTCTACATTGTTCCTTACTTCAGCAGCCCAGCCGCACGCGTAAGAGCGGCCTTTTGGCGCGGGCCCATAGGTCGGGGGCAACGGTGATGTGAATACCGTTCCAGCTGCCACCAGCTATCTCTGTAAGTTATATTGGCCAGTGGCCCGCGCTGTGCAAATGAAATTCGGCATAGAGCATTCAGGAAGACACCACATGTTGGGGCTGAAGGTGTGCGAATCGAAAAAAATTGTGGGCAACGATAGGGGGAGATAAGCTCTGCGGGGACGCATCGACCCCTCAGAACCGATAGGGGGCTTGAAAGCCCACCCCGCCCAGGAAGGTGCGGATTCGCTATCGGGGGCCTATCGCCGATCCGTCGGCGATGCATCACCGGTTCCGGCTCCACGTTTCCCCCCCTTGATCGGCCACGCGCCGAGGGGGGTACGGGGATGGGGGTAGGCTTCTCAGAAGCCCCCCTGCTTCCTAGAAGGCGCGGGCCTTGCGTACAGATGTAGGGCATGCGTCTTCCATAAACCTCCTTCTAAAAAGCCTTCCCCCCTCCCCCTACCTCCTTGTGCACGCCGCCAACCTGAGCCGGTCCCACCATACTCCGAGTTTCTTAATGAGCGTCGGGGGGGCGTCACCCCCGCCGACAGCCCCAGATCGACCCCCGTCGCGGGAGCAGCGGAAGAGGAGGAGGGGGAAGTCGACGAAAGAACGAGGATGAGGAGTAGAAGGAGAACCAGAGTGAATCCGAGATGAATCGACGATGCTGCAATACACATTCCCGTCTCGATTTCAAAAAGAATTGCCTTCTATCCTTGTCTAGATAACTGCGAAGAGGTCAAAAGTCCAGGACACTTCAAGCGACAGCTCCACTCTGAAAAGTAGGCGCCGCCCATCCGTTGTGACCATCGGCGGTCACAAACTGTGAGGATGTGACGCCCAGCCCGCGCTACCGATATGTCTGCAGGTGCGACGGGAGGTATCATTTCTAATGTCGGCGGCGTGCCCAGGGGGGAAGTGAGAAGGAACAGGCCTTCTCTGAAGGCGGGGGGGCTCTCAGAAGCCCTCGCGCCTTCAACGGGTTTTCTGTGCCTTCGGGGAAGTCTCAGAAACCGTCTCAGAAGGCCAGAGGCCTTCAGAGCCCTCTGAGGAGGCCCGTCCCGTCTCTGGGCTCGCCGCCGATAAGGAAGAGGCATGGAGGCATGTCAGACGCGCGCCCTGCACTCCCAGCGCTGCAAGCGCCTCGCGCTCCCCCCACCGGGAGGGCGCGGAGCGGGGAGGTCATGTTGGCCGCGCACCACGTCACCGTGACGAGGGCGGCCATGGCCGACTGGGACGAGCTCCAGGCCGGCTGCCGCAGCGCATGATTCCCCTATCTCGCCTGTCCTCGAGCGACCGAACGAGCAGCCATACGCCATTGAGCGCGCGGGCGAAGACAATGCGCGCGAGCTGGTGCAGCGGAAAGTGTGCAGTGCAGCTTCGTCAAGAGGAAAGAGGAGCAGGGGAAGGGAGGGGAGGGGAGGGAGCTGGACAAAGCAGCTTCCAGCGCCCGGCGGCATCGGACCCCCACCCCTCGCGGCCAGCCATCGTGGCCCCTCTCCGTGCAACTGTGCAGAGTTCTCCCGGGCCCTCTGCCGCACAGGTGCCGTTTTATCCAGAGCTGAGGTGGGCACGGAGCCCAGGTCGTCCGATCCGATGCAGGGGTCTCCAGAGACCTCCGGAGACCTCCAGGCACACTCAGAGGCCTCCGCAGACTTCCGCAGACCTGGAGTTCCAGCCACACCCTGTCCATGCGCCGAGTTCACATTTCGTGATTGTCGCCCCCAGGGGATCGTCCAGGTGGATCGTCGGCTGCACATTCACGCTGATCCTGGACAGACCGATCCTGGGTCCAGGATGTTAACCTTGCTTGGATCGGTGTCGGTGTATCTCATGGCCTTCGGCCCATCCCGCTACCCGTATCTTGGTGGTAGATCATAGACCTCCTGTATGTTCTCTACGATATCGTGGGAGGCGTCTCGGGAGCCTCTTGGAGGCAGGTTTGAGGCCTCTCGGGGGTCGGTGTCGTGCCTCTTGGGACTTCTTGAGAGCCTCTTTGGGGCCTCCTGAAGCCCCTTGGGGCCTCTTTGGGGCCTCTTGGAGCCTCTTGGGGCTTCTTGAGAGCCTCTTTGGGGCCTCTTGGAGCCTCTTGGGGCCTCTTGGAGCCTCTTGGGGCCTCTTTGGAGCCTCTTGAGGGCTGGAGCCCCTTGGGGCCCTGCCTCCTGGGGCCCTCTCGGGGCGCGGAGCCCGAAGTTTCGACTCGCGGTCCCCCTGTTGGGACCGTCTTGCCTCTTTGGGGCAGTCTTGGGCGCCTCTCGGGGCCGTCTTGGCGGCCTCCTGGGGCGATCTCGGGGCTGTCCTGGAGCGTCGCAAGGCCGAAAAGGCGATAAGACCAAAAACCTTCAAGAGCTGCCGGAAAATCAATGATGTTGGTAATTGGGGGCCTTCTCGGGGGGTCGCTCGGAGGCCTCTTGGGGCGTTTTGGAGGCCTCTTGGACCGTCTTGGGGCCATCGTGGGCGTCGTGGAGCGATCTTTAGGCGTCTCGAGGCGCTCTTGGACCGTCTTGGGGGTCTCTTGGGGCCCTCTTGGCCCGTCTTGGCCATCTTGGCTCCCAAAAAAAGTCCCGCGGGAGATGCGGGGGCGCCGCGGCAAGCCCCCGGAGATTTGGCAATTTGGGCTCCGTGCCCTTGAAAGACTCCTCAGGATTGAGGGTTGAGGCTTGAGGGGTCAGGCAAAGGGCCTGAGGATGCGCCCACTTCGTGCCCGAGGCACGGTGGCGGATACTTGCCGAAGGAATGAGGAGAGGGCGAGGGAACTTCGGGCGCTCTCTTCCGTTGCCAGTTCCCATTTACAATGGTTTTTTTCAAATGCCCAACCTATTGGGAAGGCTTTACGGCCGATGCCGCCGACCCCGACGACGACGACGGCGGCGGCGGCGACGTCGACGTCGCTGACGCCCTGGAGCCTTTCTTGGAGCTCTCTCGGTGGGGGGCCGAGGCTTGGATTAGGGCCGGAGGCCGGCGCCAGAGCTGGGGCCGGGGGCTGGGCCAAGGCCGGGGCTGGAGCCAGGACCGGGCCGGGACTGGGGCTTGGGCGGGAGCCGGGGCCGAGAGGTTTTGAATTCCCTTACTCCCTTGTCGACAGAGACACCACCACCCTGTCCGCCTTCTCCACAGAGCGGGCCGCCTGGGGGGGGGCCTTTCTGACTTGGAGGTTGACCCAAGTCCCTCCCGGGACCACCGCCTGGGACCCCCTGAAACCCCTTGGGACCCCCTCAGGACCCCCTTCGGGAACTCCCCCAGAACCTCCTTTGGCGGGGAAGGAATCAAAGGGAAGGGGCTTCCCTTCGATTCAGACAATCTGATGTTGCTGTTTCATTCCGCTTTGGCTGGCGCGCTTGAGGGAGCCTAGGGGAAAAGAAGGGAACGGCGACGGCGGCGAGACGAACGGAAGAGCATTTTCCACACGATCTCTTCCGCTGTCCATTCCCATATCCAGTGGTTCTTCTCAATTACCCAACTTGTCTTTGCATTGGAACGAGGTGCTTTATATGAATTAACAATACATGCCTTCTCTTGGCCGCCCAATCCACCAATCTAGGCTTCCGCCTGGGTCCCTTACACAATTGAATCAGGCGCGTTGTGCGTAAACCAACTCCGGCAAATCCTCCTGGATCTCTGAAGCCCGCCTTGGGGACCGTTCGCAGCGTTGCCCCCTCCTCCCTTCCGCCTGGGAGCGTGGGAGGGTAGAAGTGATCTTATCCTCCTCCTCCTCTATTACGGCGTTACGGAGGCTCTGGTAGTTTTTTGGGTGCGGTCTTCCTTTCTTTCTCCTCCTCCTCCTCATCCTCCTCCTTGCTTTCCTCCTCCTCCTCCTCCGGTTCCTCCTCCTTCTCCTCTTCCTCTTTTTCTTCCGCCTCCGCCTCTTCCTCCTTCTCCTCGTCCTCCTCCTCCTCATCCTCCTCCTCCCTTTGCTCCTCCCTTTCCTCCTCCCTTTCCTCCTCCCTTTCCTCCTCCTCCTCCTCATCCTCCTCCTCCTCCCCCTCCTCCTCCTCCTCCTCCTCCTCCTCCTCCTCCTCCTCCTCCTCCTCCTCCCACCATTCCTCTTCATGATTATCCTGATTCCCCCGCCCTTTCCTCGTCCTCCTCCCGCCTGTGCTCCGCCCCGTACGAGGCAGGGCGCACTCAATCGCGTCGCACGCCGAAGCTCCATACGTGTTGTTCTGTAAAGCGAGGCGTTGAAACCTGTCAGTCAGGATGTCCTTGTCCAGGCCGAGGGAGTCGAAGAGGAAAAACTGCCTCAACATAAACGGTCGGAGGTCTGCGCGGACCGTCGAAAGTGCATGATGAATGTCGATGTTTCTTGTTATTGATCTTATGACTAGTACTATTAGTAGTATTACTCTGTTAGGGGGGAGGGAGGAGGAGGAACGAGGATGCTCAGGGCACCGTCGAGCAGCGCATCGGGAGCTTTTACGACGAGGGCTTGAGTCCTGTGGACGAGGGCGCCCTGGAGCGGACCGCCGTAGCGGCGCGCCGCGACGATCCCCCTTTGTTGTGAAGCGGGCTCGATGAGGATTCCAAGTGAGAAGGAGTGAGGTCAGAGGTTTTGTGTAATGATGGTGTTTTTGCAGAAGAGTCGAGATTCGAGAGTGCGAGGATGGGCCACAGACTCGAGAGTGGAAGGGCCCGACTCTCGACTCCTCGGCTCCTTTTTGGGTCACGTTGGACTTTCTGCAGTCTCATCGGTTAAGGGTCTAGTGCCCTCACCGCCCACCTTCAGATTGAGTTTCGCGAGCACGACGCGGTGGCGCAATGAGGGAGCAGCGAAGGTGAGTTAGGAGCACTCGCGCGTGGAACGCCGGCTCTGGAGTCGCATGCACAGCAGTTACAACTACTTGTAAGATGAGTATTCAGCAGAGTGACCTTTGGTGCGGACCCTTTGGGGTTCCCCGATTATTGAATGCGATGCGAGAGTAGCGGTTTGCGCTCTTTGGTTCGCTCCCAGCCCCGCGCCTTCATAGAGCCGCGCACCCAAGGTCATGATTGTTCAGGGTCCCCTCTGCGTGTAGCCGACAATTTCAGTCCCAAGCTCTTCAGGGCTCTTCTCTGGAAAGTGTGTTCTCGCCGACTTGGGAGCAGACACGTCCCGAGCGAACTGGGCAGGTTCACAGATACAAAGGACAATTGCTGATCAGTACCCACGCGAGCATACTCCAGCAGAGCATATCCAGACAAGGGAGGAATCACAAGCGAGCGGAACAAAGGGATCCGAAATGTGTCCATCATGTGGAAAGCCCACAAGTTATGAGTCCAGGTACAGTTTACGACAGATTCGGAGAGGACTGTTGAGGGCATCGGTCAGAGATATTAGCGGAAATTGTCATGGTGATTACCATAATGATTTTAGGAGGGTGGGGCCGTGAGCGTTTCCTCCCTCTTTTTGCATGAGCAGCATCCGAGCGGCCTTGGCGCAGTAATTTCGTTTAGGGCAGCCCAGATAGCGTCTGTTATGTTGCGTCGTTTCTTCGATCACGAAATAAAGTTCACAGGCCAGCTCCAATACAGTCGCAGGTTGGCGACGGGGCATCGACATTGCTGCCCCTGTGTGACCTTCAGAACCTCCGAAACCTCAAAGCCCCCCCAAACCTCCAGGGGAGAGACAGACAGACAGCCAGACAGACACACACACACACACAAACGGTTGCCAAGTGTGTTGGTGATGTGGATGCAGTTGGGTGAAATTCCAGAGTATTGTGTGGCTACCCGTAGTTACCCGTGACGTGTGTTGTTGGTTGCACAGTTGTCGTTTTCTATGTGTTCAGTTCGTTCCAGGTAAATTCTCCGCCGATTGGAGTACGGTAGGTTCGCGTCGTGTCGACCAACAGCGATTCCGCCGCCGACGTTCAACGTTGAACGCCGCCGAGGACCCAGAATCTGTCGATGTTGAACGATTGGACGTTTCGGAAGCGGCCGATCGTTCAAGATTGTGTTATCCCCGCGATGTCAGAAACTAACGCCGAAGTCGGCACGACACGAACCTGCCGCAGAGGTGTGTTCCAAGTCAAGGTCGATAAGGCTTCAGGCGAGAGACTCGTTGCCATTGAGGAAAGGACGACGGAGGACGGAAGTGGGTGCGGAGGAGCAGGCGGGTGCGGATAAGAGAGGGAAAAGGTATGGCAAAGGGGTGTGGAGATGGAGGAGGGGAGGTGGAGGAAGAGAGGGGGAACGGGAGGAGAAGGGGTGAAGGAATAAAGAGGGGGAAGGGGAGGAGAGGGGAAGGGAGAATGCGAGAGAGGATTGGGGGTGGCCCTTGCGAGGGGGTGAACATGTATGTATATATATATATATGTGTATATATATGTATATATATATATATATATATTCCATACATATGCTTGTGTGAACTCTCATATGGCAGATTATGCTGCAATAGATCGGATTAGGGCGCAGTGCATTAGAATTCCAGATGCTTACTTATGTGCACACATATACCTATTCAGAGAAAGAGAGAGAGATAGAGAGAGATACAGACAGACAGACAGACAGACAGACAGACAGACAGACAGACAGACAGACAGACAGACAGACAGAAGATAATAAAGAGACAGAGAAAAGATAGAGAGAGAGAGACACACACACACACAGAAATAAAGAGAGAGGGAGAGAGACAGAGAAAGGCTGGAGAGGGAGGAAAGACAGGGAAAGGCTGGAGAGAGGGAGAGCGAGCGAGCGAGCGAGTGAGAGAAAGAGGGAGAGAGAGAGAGAGGCCGCACCCGCTCGGCGGACGGCCAGCCCAGCCGGCCTGGACGGCCAGCCTCCCCGCACGCCCGGGACCCCCGGGGGGCGGCAGGGCGTGGCGGCGAGGAGGCGCGGAGGGCCCGAGCGGGAGGGGCGCGGGGCGGCGTGGCCCGCAGGCGGCGGCCCCCGGCAGCCTCGAGGCGCTGTGGCGCCCGCCCCCCCCCCCCCCCCCGCTGCCTTCTTCTGCACGGAGGACGAACGGCGCGCCGTGGGCCTGGCGGGATGCTGGGAGGAGGGGGAGGGGAGGCGGAGGAGGAGGAGGAGGAGGAGGAGAGGAGGAGGAGGAGGAGGAGGAGGAGGAGGAGGAGGAGGAGGAGGAGGAGGGGGGAGGAAGAGGGGGAGGAGGAGGAGGGGGAGGAGGAGGAGGAGGAGGAGGAGGAGGAGGAGGAGGAGGAGGAGGAGGAGGAGGAGGAGGAGGAGGAGGAGGAGGGAGGAGGAGGAGGGGGAGGGAGGAGGGAGGAGGAGGAGGAGGAGGAGGAGGAGGAGGAGGGAGGAGGGAGGAGGGAGGAGGGAGGAGGAGGAGGGGAGGGAGGAGGGAGAGGAGGAGGGAGGAGGGAGGAGGGAGGAGAGGGAGGAGGGAGGAGGGAGGAGGGAGGAGGAGGAGGAGGAGGGAGGAGGAGGGAGGAGGAGGGAGGAGGGAGGGAGGAGGAGGAGGAGGCGGAGGAGGAGGAGGAGGAGGAGGAGGAGGAGGAGGAGAAGGAGGAGGAGGAGGAGGAGGAGGAGGAGGGGAGAGGAGGAGGGAGGAGGAGGAGGAGGAGGAGGAGGAGGAGGAGGAGAGGAGGAGGAGGAGGAGGAGGAGGAGGAGGAGGAGGGAGGGAGGAGAGGAGGGAGGGAGGGAGGGAGGGAGGGAGGGAGGGAGGGAGGGAGGGGAGGGAGGGAGGGAGGGAGGAGGGAGGAGGGAGGGAGGGAGGGAGGGAGGGAGGAGGGAGGGAGGGAGGGAGGGAGGGAGGGAGGGAGGGAGGGAGGGAGGGAGGGAGGGAGGGAGGGAGGGAGGGAGGGAGGGAGGGAGGGAGGGAGGGAGGGAGGAGGAGGAGGAGGAGGGAGGAGGAGGAGGAGGAGAAGGAGGAGGAGAGCGCGGTCGAGGGCGAGGGCGAGCGAGGGGAGAGGGGACGGGAGAGGGAGGAGGGAGGAGGGAGGAGGAGGGAGGAGAAGGAAGGAAGAGGGAGGAGGAGGAGGCGGAGGAGGAGGAAGAGGAGGAGGGAGGAGGAGGGAGGAGGAGGAGGAGGAGGAGGAGGAGGAGGGGGAAAGTGGGGTAGTGACTTCCCGTATGCGCAGTCGAGGGTCCCCCATCCAAATGGAAGAGGTGCCCTTGCCTGTGGGCAGGTTTCAACCCTGCTGCAGAGGTGGCCAGGAGGAGAGGGGAGGAAGCTCGCAGAGCTCCGATCAATTCGGCTGCTGATCCCCAGCGGCGTCCGACGCCAAACAAGGCGATAAAGGCCAGATCGGGGCTGCGCTCGCAGAAATCCACAGGTGCGAGACTCCAGGAGCGTTTCGGACGTCTGTGCGGGACACGTGCTTGCGAGATGAGGAGATGAACAAATAGAAAGGTGAGGAAGTTACTAGTCGTTAGGTTTCTGTGCTTTCGTTTTTGTCTCAATACGTTGAGGCCCTGCTGCCTGTCTAAGGATGGAAGGAGGCATCAGTGGGCGACCAGCAGGGCTTCCAGGAAGCCTCCACAGTCCTCCCAGAGGCTTCTGCGCTCTGGGGCTCCTACAAGAGCGTCCATAGAGCTGCCCGGATGCGTCGCAGGGGCCTCTAGGCTTCCCAGAGGCTTCCAGGGCCTCCCAGTCTCCTAGGGGCCTCACTTGGCATCAGGGCGCCCGGATCCGACTTGACATTATCACCGTTCTGTTGCGGAGCCTCTTCTGTTGAAAGACATACTGATGGGCCCCCTGATGGCTCAGGCCGTGATGTCGAGTCAGGGTTGGAGGGGGATGGAGGAGATAGGGCACGAAGGGGGGAAGGGGAAAGGGCGGGAAGGGAGGACAGGACGAGGACGTCCAGGAGTACAGGACGAAAAGAACGTCGAGGAGGAGGAGAGCGAGGAGGACTGGCCGAGGAGGAAAGCGAGGAGGACCTGGCCGAAAGGCCCGCATACTGGAGCTGCTGGACGAGCGGGTGAGGCCCAGCATCCAGCAGGCCCCGGGCCCGCTCGGGAGAGCGGGGAGCGGGCGGTGGCGGGGGTCGCGGTGTGTGGTCGTGGGCCTATCGCTGATCTATCGGCGATGCATCGTTGATTCAAGGCTAAGCCAAAGGGACCAGAGATGGGGAGCAGAGGTAGACAAGAAGACCGAAATGGGGACCAGAGGTAAATAAGAAGAAGTACGCTGCTAAACTGGACGCCGGCCTCGTGGGGAGCGGCGCGAACGAACTACAGTCGACGATGGTGAATGCCCTCTTGACTGCGTTGCCAAACAAGATGAAGTTGATGCCACGGCGTGCGAGAAATGGAGAGATCGACGATTTGATCCGCCAGCGCCGGCACCTCAGGCGACAATGCGACTTGACTCCTTCAGAGAAGAAGCATCGCAGGGAAGACCTCAGCAAACGCATCAAGAAGCTGGTCACCCTCAGGCTCAAGGAGGAGAAGAAAGAAATAATCCAGTCAATCCTCGGAGATTTCCGCGGCTTCTCATCCATTTCATTTGCAGGGCGCCCGCAGCAGAAGACACATATAGCGAACACCATAAGCGAGGGGAACATGTGTCGAAAGACGGCATCACAGAAGTCTTCGCGAACTATCTACGAGAAGTTGTACACAGCACAGCGCCCAGTTAATGGTGGTGTTCTCAGGGCCGCACCCGTTCCAGACTTCACGATGGCGGAGTTGGAGGGAGCTTCATCTCATGTGAAGCGTGGTCGACGTTGCGACGGATCGGGGGTGGTTGCAGAGATGCTCAAATATAGCGGGCAGCATTTCCGAGAAATCATTTTGTGACTGTTCAACGACGTTCTGCAGCCTGGCGCGGATGTTCCAGATAATTGGAAGAGGACACGCTTGGTGGTGTTGTTCAAAAAGGGCGACGCTCGATACCCTAATAATTACCGCCCAATCGCAATATTACCTGTTCTGCATAAGCTTTTTTGCGCGGATACTTTGCGACCGCTTGCAAGCGAAGATCGTCCCGCAACAGTCGCCGGACCAAGCGGCGTACAGCAAGGGGTATTCAACGACCGACCACATGCTGTCAATCACCTTGCTGTTGGAGGGTTGTGCAGAGTGGACTCAGGACCTACGGCTTGGACTGGCTGACTTCGAGAAGGCGTTCGGTACGGTTGAGCATTCGAGCCTATGGGAAGTTTCTCGTGTCCTTAATGTTGATGAAGACTATATCGCGCTGCTCCAGAAGCTGTACCGGCATCAAACTGCATCGGTCCAGGCTGGGGGTACATCACGAAGTTTTGCACTAAGCCGTGGAGTCAGACAGGGAGATCATATTAACGCATTGATATTCATTGCCGCGATGGAAGTTTGCTTTCGGAACCTCAAGAAAAGGTGGACTGGCCTCAATCAGCGGAGACGAGGATGCTATTACGTAGTGGTGGTGGATAAGCCAGAAGACTGTTTAACGAATCTCCGGCTCGCAGACGCCGTTGTGTTGGTAGCTGTGAACAAGACGGACGTTTCCAAAATGCTTGCGGGCTTGAAGAAAGAGGCAACCAAATATGGGCTCGTTGTGCCCATGGGAAAGACGAAGATACTTACGAGCGCCAGCCTGAATCTTCCAATATGCATCAAAATTGAAGGAGCCGACATAGACGTTGCCCCACCGGCGAAGTACGAGAAGCATTTGGGGCGGCGCCTTTTGCGTGGGAAGTTATCACGAATCCGTTCAAGATCCTACCCGCTTCGGTGCAGATTATAACGATTTGATGTAGTGGTCACGCCAATGTCGAAGTACGGATGCGAGTGCTGGACGCTCAACGTGCATAGTCGCCGGATGTTGCAGACGACTTGGCGGACTATGGTACGGAAGATATTTCGCGCCCCAAGGGGCGACGAAGGAACGCGGGTAGATTACGGGCGGCGCGCATCTGCGCACGCAGCCTAAAAGGAAGGAGAACCTCGCCGCCAGGGTGGCGAACGACAACGCAGACACATCGAATTACCGACTACGCCACTGGCGCTCTGGGCATCGCTGCTCGGCCGGTCGTCGACCAGGTAGACCGCGCTTCCGTTGGCGAGTGCAGTGATGCATGTCTTTGATATTTAGATGTTGTTCCTCCTCCTTCCTTCCTCCTCCTCCTTCTCCTCCTCCTCCTCCTCATCATCATCATCATCCTCGTCCTCCTCCTCCTCCTCCTCCTCCTCCTCCTCCTCCTCCTCCTCCCCCTCCTCCTCCTCCTCCCTCCTCCTCCTCCTCCTCCTCCTCCTCCTCCTCCTCCCTCCTCTCTCCTCCTCCTCCTCCTCCTCCTCCTCCTCTCCTCCTCCTCCTCCTCCTCCTCCTCCTCCTCTCCTCCTCCTCCTCCTCCTCCTCCTCCTCCTCCTCCTCCTCCTCCTCCTCCTCCTCTCGCTTTCCTTAGCAGGCAGGGTTTCTCTGACTGAAAACCTGCACACCACAGGATTTCTTAATCGTATTTTCCTGCGTGCGCTCGCTGCCGACGTTCATGTTCCGACATGCTCAGCGCACGGTTTGCCCTCTAGGGGACCGTTCCGGTTACCGGAGTTGGCACGCAGACTTCCGTTTCTTTGAGCTGGCCCCCTTCTAACGCTTTCCTTCAAAGGAGAGTACGACAGTCTACGCCAGACGTTGCCTGGGCTGGAGGGTCACTCCCCAGGCAGCGTCTCTCTATGTTGTTCGGCGTGGCCCTCACTCGGGACGCCCCCTCTGTCTCTTTTTCGCGCGTCTCTGCGCCGTGCCCTCCGAGCAACTTGGACCTGCCAGGTTTTCGCCCTGCGCAGCATCCTCAGCTTAATGCTCATTCCCTCCCGATGGGTTCAGCTCGAATGCTCAAATGCCCATTATCTTTGAGACCTGATCGGCCGTAGCGCAGCTGCACCCACTGCGCCACAGGCGACCCCTTTCTGCCTTCTTGACGAGTGTGTGTATGTGTGCGTGTGTATACATATATATATATATATATAGGTTCGCGTGTGTATGTGTGCGTGTGTGTGTGCGTGTGCGAATGCGCGTGGTCTGCGTGTGCGTGTGCGTGTGGTCTGTGGTCTGTGCGTGTGCGTGCGTGCGCACGTGCGCATGCATGTGCGTGTGCGTGTGTGTGTGTGCATGTGTGTGTGCCTGCGTGCGTGTGTGCGTGATGCCCGTTCGCCGGAGCAGTCACTTTCTGCCCAGCCGCCGACGCAAAAAGTGTGTATGTGTGCGCATGCGCGTGTGTGCGTTTGTGTGTGTGCGTGCGTGTGTGTGTGTGTTTGTGTTTGTGTGCGTGTGTGTGTTGCGTGTGTGCGTGTGTACGTGTGTGCGTGTGTGTGTGTGCGCGTGTGTGTGTGTGTGTGCGTGCGTCCGTGGGTGCGTGCGTGGGTGTGTGCGTGCTTGCGTGCGTGCGTGCGTGTGAGTGTGCGTGCATGCGTGTATGTGTGTGCGTGTGTTTGTGTGTGTGTGTGCGAGCGTGGGTGTGTGCGAGTGTGTGTATATGTGTGTGAGTGTGTCTGTGTGTGTGCCTGTGTGTGCCTGTGTGTTTGTATTTGCGTGTGTGTGTGTGTGTGCCTGCGTGTGTGTCTGTGTGTGTTTGCTTGTGTGTCTGTGTATGCGTGTGTGTCTGTGTGTGTTTGTGTGCGTGTGCGTGTGTCTGTGTGCGGTGGGGGGGATGTGTGGGGGGGGGTATTGGTGTGTGTGTGTGCGGGGGGGGGGAGCGTGTGCGTTTGCGTGTGCGTGTGTGTGCGTGTGCGTGTGTGTGCGTGAATGTGTGCGTGTGTGTGTGTGTGTGAATGTGCGTGTGTGCGCGTGTGTATGCGCGTGTGTGCGTGTGGTCGTGTGGGCGTTTGCGCGTGTGCACGTGTGCGCGGTTGCGCGTGTGCGCGTGTACGCGTGTGCGCGTTTGCGCGTGTGCGCGCGTGCGCGTAGGAGCGTGTGCGCGTGGGCGCGTGCGTACTTGCGTGCGTGGGCGTTTGTGTGTGTGAGTCTCTGTGTGTGTCTGTGTGTGCTTGTGTGTGCTTGTGTGTGTGTTTGCGTGTGGCTGTGTGTCTCTGTGCGTGTGTGTCTGAGTGTGCCTGTGTGTCGCTGTGTGTGTGTCTGTGTGTGTGTCTGCGTGGGTGTGCCTGTGTGTCTGTGTCTGCGTTTGTGTCTATGTGCATGTGTGTGCGTGTCTGTGTGTGGGTCTGTGCGTGTCTGTGCGTGCCTGAGCGTGTCTGTGTGTGTGGCTGTGTGTGCCTGTGTGCCTGTGGTGTCTGAGTGTGTGTCTGTGTGTGTCTGTGTGTGTCGGTGTGTGTCGGTGTGTGTGTGTGTCTGTCTGCATGTGTGTTTCTGTGTGTGTGCGTGTCCATGTGGGTATATGTGTGTGTGTGTGTCCGTCTGTGTGTCTCTATGTGTCTCGGTGTGTCTCGATGTGTCGATGTGTCTCTCTGTGTGTCTATCTGCGTCTCTGTGTGTCGTTGTGTGTCTATCTGCGTCTCTCTGTGTCTCGCTGTGTCTCTGTGTGTCTCTATGTGTCTCTGTGTCTCTCTGTGTCTTTCCGTGTGTCTCCGTGGCTCGTTGCGTGTGTTTGTGTTTCTGTGTGTCTCTCTGTGTCTCTGTGTGCCTGTGTGTGTCTCTGTGTGTGTGGGTCTGTGTGTGTCTGTGTGTGTGTCTGTGTCTGTGTCTGTGTGTGTGTCTGTGTGTGTCTGCGTGTGTCTGTGTGTGTTTGTGTGTGTGTGTGTCTGTGTGTGTGACTGTGTGTGTGACCGTGTGTGTCTGTGTGTGTGTGTCTGTGTGTGCTTGTGTGTGCTCGTGGGGCTGTGCTGGTGTGGGGTGGGGGTGGGTGGGTGGGGGTGTCTGTGGGTGGGTGGGTGTGTGGGTGTTTGGGTTGTGGGTGTGTGGGTGTGTGGGCGTGTGGGTGAGTGGGGGTGTGGTGTGTGTGTGTGTGTGGGGTGTGTGAGTGTGTGGGTGTGTGAGGGTGGGGGTGGGGGGCGGGGGGGTGGGGATCGGGGCGGGGGTGGGTGTGTGGGTGGGTGGTGTGTGGGTGGGTGGGTGTGGGAGTGTCTG